AAAAAAAAAAAAAAAAAAAAACACATCATAGTAAAATAATACCTTCTCAGCTTCGCATCGAAGCTAAAAGTAAGGGAGAGAATATTATGCCTTGGAGAACAACAGACTTTATTAGATATTATAGGAAAATTTTTGTATGCTTTACTTTTCATTTTTGTCTCAAAGGTGCGGTCTTCTAGGTAAGATTTATCAAAATAGGAAGAAAGAAAAAAGTTACGGAGTTTGAAAAGAACACCTGAATACCACATTTATCGAAAGTTAGAGGTTTATAGAAAGTAGAGGTTGTATTCCAAATTGGACCGACTAAATGTTGTTTTGACAGATTGTGGAATATTTTTTCAAAAATAGACTTTAGATCTATTTTTAATTAGACTTAAGATGAGATGGGAAGGTGGTGTGAATACAGAAATTGAATGGATGGAGCCTGACACCAAGTGGAGAGAAGCAGCGGAAGACAAAGATAGGTGGCAGAGTGTATCGTTAGTAGTATAGTCTTAAAGCCGAAACTAAGGAAGAAGAAAGAAGAAGATATTATTAAGACATTATTTCGCTTACCATACTTTCCACTTCACTGAAAAGTGTCCTTAATAATTCTCATTTTTTTTTTTTTTTTTTTGATCAACCCTAAGGTTGGTTTTGCAATTTTCCAAAATTTCTCCATTCATCTCTATTGTCAGCTAACCTCTTCAGCTCCTTATAGTTTGCTAGACCCGCATCGGAAATCATCTTTTTGATATAAGACGTTCTTGGTCGTCCTCGATCTCTTTTGCCATTCATCTTCCCTTCTATTATAATATACAGAAGCTCTTCTTCGTGTCTTAATACATGACCAATCATATTCCATCTTCTTTCTTTTATGGTGCTAAGTATCTTCCTGATTTCATTTATTTCGTTAAAAACATTTTCTTTAGTACTTCTTTCTACCCAGCTTACTCTCAACATTCTTCTCCAGCACCACATCTCGAAACTTTCGAGGAACTTTTGTTCCGTTTTGTTTAATACCCATGTTTCGCATCCGTAAAGTGCGACACTCCACACATATACCTTTACCAGCCGTTTCCTCATACGTATATTCATGTTTTTAGAGCACAGTAGGTTTCTTTTGTTCATGAATGCTGTTTTTGCTTGAGCGATCCTTGCTTTTATTTCCATAGTACATTTTCCATCTTGACTAATTATACTACCTAGATATCTAAAGTTTTCCACTTGGTCTAGAGTGTGGTTATCAATTTTAATTCTTATTCTGTGAATACGATTCATTTTTTGACACATCATTACCTTGGTTTTATTCCAGTTGATTTTAAGGTGATAATTTTGGAAGCACCTTGCTATTTCTTCTAATGCTCTTTTGAGATCGTTTTCGCTGCTTGCAACAAGAGCTATGTCATCGGCGAATCTTAAAAATGATATCAATTCTCCTCCTACTATCACTCCAATTTTATCTCTGGTGAATATTTCTTTAATTTCATTGATANACTATCACTCCAATTTTATCTCTGGCGAATGTTTCTTTAATTTCATTGATAGATTGTTCTACATAAATATTAAATAACTTTGGTGACAGTGGACACCCTTGTTTTACTCCTTTTCCTATTTTAGCTGTTGCAGACTTGTCTGACACTTTTATTATAGCTAATTGCTCTTTGTATATGTTGTGTATTAACTGTCTGTCTCTATAATCAATGCCTATTTCTTCTTATGTCTTAAAAAGTTCCTTCCAGGGAACTGTGTCAAATGGCTTCTCCAAATCAATAAATGCGATAAATGTATCGTTGTTAAATTCGATCTGTTTTTCAATTAATGTTCTAAGACTTAAGATCGCTTCTCTAGTACCCTTGTTTCTTTTCATTTTCAAAAAAATGAGGATTATTAAGGACACTTTCCATTGAAGTGGAAAGTATGGTAAGCGAAATAGTGTATTAATAATATCTTCTTCTTTCTTCTTCCTTAGTTTCGGCTTTAAGATTATACTACTAACGATACACTCTGCCACATATCTTTGTCTTCCACTGCTTCACTCCACTTGGTGTCAGGCTCCATCCTTTTAATTTCTGTATTCCCACCACCTTCATCTTAAGTCTACCTAATGGTCTTTTTTCCATAGGGTATTCTTCAATCGCCCGTTTAATTAAAGTACCCTGTTAACGTTAAGCAGGCTCAATTTAGTTTACATTTAGCAATCTCTCTAACTATATTCGGCCTCTGAAAAAGTCTTTGGAGTTCCTCATTATGCAGTTTTCTCCATTCATTCTTTTGGCTATCGAAGACTGGGCCTTAAATTTTTCATAGAACTTTTCTTTTGAATATCATTAGTCTTGATTCTTCTGTTTTTCTCAACGCCCACATTTCCGAGCTGTATAGAGCAATTGGTCTTAGTAGTGTCATGTACATATTAGCTTCGATGCGATGCTGAGAAGATATTAATTACTAAGGTATTTACTATGATGTGTTTTTTTTTTGTGTCTGTTAACAATTTTTTTTCAGCTTTCACCGAACCGATTTCTTTCAACGACACGTCAAAAGATCACATATCATATCTAGTCGAAAACATTACCGTCAAAATTTGAAAAAATTTTCCTATTTCCCGTGGGAAGTTTTGGATCACTTGCTATTATGTAAACTGACTAAATATGTAGATCGTCATTAAAAAAAAATAAAATTTGTACTCTTATAAGAAATCCTGTATAATGATATTTGGTGTTAAGGATTTTAGGTTTTAGGATTTTAGGAATCTAACTTTTAAACACTAATTGTTACACTGTTATTGACTAAGAAGTTGACGTTGATTGTAGCTCATACTGGCATACGTTTAAGATAAGAATAAATCTTAAAAAAAATTATAATTGTATCAAAAGTGTTTTCAGTTATGCCTGAGGCACTCTATATAAACATAATATTAGATTATCTAATAATGTTTATATTACCTACTTAAATTTTTTTACAGATTTATACCACCTAAAGATAAAACTATCGATCAAGATTGTGGAATCACAATACTTAATACTCTACTTATTCAAGGTAATTGGGATTCATGTAGACACGTAAATATACAATATGATGATTTAAAAATAAGTGCCAAACGTGTTATAAGAGACTTGACAACAGATCATAATTTTCATCTTAAGAAACATTACTTTACACAAATGGTGAGGTGCAGATTTTTTGAAGTACTTTTAAATTACAATACATTGTTAAGTGCTTTAAAACAACTGTGTATAACTTTAAAAAACGAAAATAATTATGTAAAATGTGTAACATGTCTTTTTGACGCAATTAATGATACAGTGACAATGTTCGACTTTATGCTGACAATTATAGAAAAAATAAAACTATCATCAATTTGGCAACCCAATAAATCATATTCTGATTTACAATCAACTCATAAATTGATATTAGATTACGTATTTAATCTTAAAGTTTTTAATGTAGTACGAGAAAAGTTTATTTACACACCTGAAGTAAACACTGAGGTATTAGCTGCGGATTACATTCAAAATTATAAAAAAGCAAGACGTGTATTTTCCAAGAACTTACAAACTTCAAAACATCCAAAAAACAATCGCTGTTATATAGATGACTTTATAGTAAATAAAGAAAGTATAGTATTTAAATTTCAAGATATTGCAAATGACAGGTCAAGTGAAACACATATCACTGAGTATGAACTAATTACAAAATTTTTAAATAACTTTTGTAGAAGTTTTATTCAAAATGATTATGTAAATACTGGTTTTGATAAAATATATCAAAACTATTTTTGGAAATGGACATAGTCCATATTAGTTCATTTTTTCAGACAGCATGAACATAATTATTATCGTTAAAAAAAGAACCTTGATTACAATATCATTTTGAGATATGCGTAACATTTATTTTAATTTATAATATGATGTATTTAATTGTAGATTTATGTCATCCATTATGAATTTATAGAATCACCAAAATATAGGATTTCCTTATTTAAAATATAAAATAACCAATTAACTATAAGATAAAATCTAAGTACTTACAATTTAAAGTAACCCCTATATGTAAAGACTCAATAATGTCCTGTCATTTACATTTAACAAATTATTGAGATATCCAATATCCAAGATCGCGCTAGGTTTCTAGACAACCTCCTCTGACAACAAAACTCCATTTTTTTATATTAAAACATGTTCTTCGGTAATTTAAAAATACTCAGGATCTACTCTGCTCTAATCAAGTTTCTTACACTATAGTACTTAGTTTTTTTTTAAAATTTAATTTGGATTTCAAATATTTTTAAATTAATTTTGTTTTGGAAAATCTTATAATTTAAGTTTACTTGTTCATTAAATAATAATGTTTTATTTTTATAATATTTGAAATAAATATCAATTAAAATTTACTACAACATCAAACTTTTTTTTAAGTTTTTTAATTTTTACAATAAATCCAATCAACTTTAATTATTCCTTTAACAGTAAATATAAATTGTGTACTTTTTTAATTGTATAGCTAGTCTCGTAGCTAACGTATTTGTACTAAAGAATGTGGCGCCGGCAAACAACATTGAGAAACTTATGGAAATATTTTTATAGTGTTTAATTTTTGACTTGGTAGTTCTTGAGTCACATCTTTTCAAGGTGTCCTCGCCGGGACACATAGCGCCATTACAATAGTACTATGATAAAATTTTTACTTAAATATAAATATTTTTGAATCTTATTTTAGCCAGGCCAGACGAAGCTTATATAATATTTTATATTCATTTTAAACAACATTTTGTTAAATAATTATTCTGTATATAAATATGAATAAACTTATTATTATTAATATAATTAATAATTATATGTATAAATTATTGTATTATTATTAAAATTAAAAAATTCAACCAGTCACAGTTAGGAAAAATGTTTATAATTCAATTAAATTAAGTCATTCAAAACAATGAATTGTGTATACTTTATATGACGAGAACAAACGACATTCGCGTATCAGTACTGATGATCGCTATGTCAGCATAGTATAATAGTGTAATATTATATTATTACTTATAATATTAACATATAATATGATGTTATCATTTGTACATGTATGTCACATATTATGATTATACCAGATCACCAAAACAGGGTTCTCTTATTTAAAATACAAAATAACCAGTTCATTATGGGATAAAATCTACTTATTGTATAGATTATTATGTAACGCCTACACACAGGGCCCTCATTATAATTAACCAATTAGAATAGAAAGCCTCAGCTTCCAGGATCTTGGTAGAGATCGCTGGGCTACCCCTTTCAGACTATAAAAAGCCATTTACCCCGTCTAAACCAGTTCTTTCAGCGATTTTAAAATACACAAAATCTATGACATTCTATCTAGATTTCACTCTCCGGAACTTAGTCGACTTTTTAATTAATTTGGACTTTAAAGCTTAGAAATTTTGTAGTGAATTTTGTTTTGGTGAATCTTTTAATTTGATTTAATATGTTCATTAAATAATAATGATTTATTTTTCTCATTGTGGAAATAAATATCAAATAATATTTTAAACATAAAATCTTTTAGCTTCGATGCGAAGGTATTAATTTTACTATGATGTGTTTTTTTTTTTTATGTCTGTTGCCACTTTTTCTCATCTCTCACTNTTTTTTTGTGTCTGTCACTACTTTTTCTCAGCTCTCACTGGACCGATTTCTTTTAACAATACGTCAAAAGATCACAAATTGTATCTAGTTGAAGACATTACCCTTAAAAATTTAAAAATTTTCCCTCGTTCCCCGCAAATGGGGGAAATATCCAAAAAAATTACAAATTTAAAAATCGACAAATTTTGTCATTTTTTTCACTTTTTTTTCTTAAAACTTCCATAACTTTTTCAAAAATAAACAAATCAACATAATTTTTTTTTAAACTAAAATCTTAGATATTTTCCTTTAATTTGATATCATTTTTTTGAATATCTAACACTTAACCTGCTCACTGGNTTTTTTGAAAATTTAACACTTAACCTGCTCATGGGGGGGGATTTAAAATTGCAACTTTTTTACAAAAACTAACTTTTTCAACTTAATTTTTGAAAATGTTCCGGAAATACTGCGTCCTTTAAACATATATCAAATTAGAGCTTATTTTATGTATTATAAATTGAAAAAAAAAAATTTGTCCCGACACTTTATCTTCTGCATGTAAACGGATGCCGTAGATAAAAAACCGCTATTTTTGTGTTAAAATTCTCGATTTTCAATTTTAAATTTTCAACTTAAAAATGCTATAACTTTTCGTAAAATTTAATTATCAGCACAACTTTTTTTTTTTCTGAATACATTATAAGTACATCTTTTATTTGACATACTTTTTATTAAAATTGGACAATTTCCTCATATATAAGGGGCGTTCAAAACTTGAAACATTGTATAAAAAATAGAACTTTTTCAACTGAACTTTTGAAAATGTTCCGGAAATACTGCGTCCTTTAAACATATATCAAATCAAAGGTTATGTTATATACTATAAAATGAAAAAAAAAAATTTGTCTCGACACCTTATCTTCTATGTGCAAATGGCTGTCGAAATTTAAAAAAAAATGTAATGTTTGTGATAAAAATCATCTTCTTTATAATTATTATTTTTATAATACGCTAAATTGAATAACTTTTTTTTTGTTGGTTTTTTTAGATATATAATCATTAAAATTAATTAAATTCTGAATATTTCCATTGTAGAATCTTTTTAAACGCCAAAAGTTAATTAGAAATGATTACTATTATTTTTATTTAAGTGATCTATTACGACAAAAATGTAAAAAAATCTAACTTTTCTGATAAATATACTGTATATAGTAATTATAAAATTTGCTGACAGTATATTAATCTTAACAATTTCATTTTTATCTATTTAATAATGTAAATTTCAAACTTGCAAATTGAGCTACTTGTTATGGTAATAAATTCATTTTTTTTTTTAATAAAACTTTCACTTTAAAGGACAATAAAAAGTAGGTTCAAAATTATTACTTTTAACATATTAAAAATCAAAATCAGTAATAATTTGAAAACAATTAATTTTAAAAATTATATAATATATAATTTAAAGAATTACTAATCTGGGTATAATTAAAGAAATAGAAGTTGATGTTCCTTTTGTAATTATCCATCAATTTTTTAAAATTAAACACTATCTACAGATTTGCATCGAACCGTTTCTTATGATAGTCATTTTAATCACTGTCAGATTAAATCTATACTGGACCTAACTATGCAACGTCTCCACTATGCAGCGACCCCACTGTGTTGGGTTTTTTTATATAAATTTTTAAAATATTAGTAATAATATTTTTTTTAATTATTTTATTTTAATAATAAATCCAACCCAAATTTAAATTTTATTTAATAATAAAAATCTATTGTGAGCTTTTCTTATTGAGTAGCTAGTCTCTGAGCTAAATGTCTTTGTTTTAACGAACCTTGTGCCGGCAGAAAGAGCTAAAGTTCACAATTTCCTCAGTCAATATTGAGAATTAAATTAATTTATTAATAAATTTATTGGACTAAGAGTATTGCAACTCTATACTTATTGGGTAGCTAGTCTTTGAGCTTAATGTCTTTGTTCTAACAAACATCGTGCCAGCGGACAGCGCAAAGAAACTTACGAATATATTTTTAGTGTTTAATTTTTGTCTTGGTGATTATTGTGCCGCATCCTTTCAAGGCGCTAGCGTCAAGACACATTGGGCCACCACAATTACGCGTTGATAAATCATTACATAGATATATATATTTTTGAATCTTGTTTTGGCCAGACCATAGGAAGATATAAGAAATATTTGTGTCGATCTCTCAATAAAATATACTCTCTCTCCAAAAAAAAATATATATATTTATTCAACAAACGTAAAAAATTTTAATAAGAACAGATTATAATTATATTTTTAATAAAATATAGAGTTTTTAGAATCTTTTACAAATAAGATCAGTCATAGATTTTGTGTAGTCAAGTCATATTATTTAAAATTTGAATAGTTTTTGTAAGTAATTATATTGACTATATGACGTATAGTGTAAATCGTATATGTAGTGCATTTAATACCAAAATCAACATTGGATTACTTGAAATATTATTGCATTACATAGGACGTAAGGAAAGTACAATTTAATCTATGCTTTTCAACTTTCAAAAATCAATTGCATAATAAACCATTAATAAAAATTAAATAGGAGGATTAAATAATTAATGAGAGAATTGGTGGATTGAATAAAATTATATAAATTCAAATAATTTAATATTCCAAACAATTCTACGATGAAATCAATTCTATTTCTATTATATTCTATTCTCTTATTCTGATCTATATTTTTAACATATTCTAATCTTCTCTCATCACTTTTAGCTTCGATGCGAAGCTGAGAAGGTATTAATTTTACTATGATGTGTTTTTTTTTTTATTTTTTTTTTTGTGTCTGTGAACGCTCAATCTCAGCTCTCGCTGGACCGATTTTGATGAACAATATGTCAAAAGATCACAAATCGTATCTAGTCGAAGACATTACCCTCAAAAATTGAAAAAAATTCCCTCGTTCCCCGTAAACGGGGGAAATCCCCCAAAAAATTACAAATTTAAAAATCGCTAATTTTCGATATTTTTTCAATTTTTTTTACTTAAAATTGCCATAACTTTTTTAAAAATGACCGAATCAATATAATTTTTTTTTTTATAGATACCTTAGATAATTACCTATCATTTTATATATTTTTGTGAACATTTGACCCTTTAACAGCCCAAAGGATGGGGTTTCAAAATGGTAACTTTTTTACAAAAAATTAACTTTTTCAACTTAACTTTTGAAAATGTTCCGGAAAGACTGACAATTTTATATATACCTTAAATTAAAGCTAATGTAATATACTTTAATTTGAAAAAAAAAAATTTGACCTCTGGACTTGTCTTCATGGTGAAAATGACTACCGTATGCAAAAATATGCTATTTTTGTGAAAAAATTCTTGATATTATATTTTACATTTTTTAACATTATGTTGCTATAACTTTTTAAAAAATGCATGAATCAACTTTATTCTTTAATGATAAATACTTTATATATACTTCTTTCATTCGACATACTTTTTTTTAAAATCGGACCATTTCCCTTTATACAGGGGGGGTGCAAACCTTTTAAAATGCGTATAGAAAGTAGAACTTTTTCAACTTAACTTTTGAAAATGTTCCGGAAAGACTGACACTTTTATATATATCTTAAATTAAAGCTTATGTAATATACTTTAATTTGAAAAAAAAAAATTTGACCTCTGGACTTGTCTTCGTGGTGAAAACGGACATCAAAGTTAAAGAAAAACGTACGATTTCCGTGAAAAAAATCTCGATTTTATATGTTATATTATTTAATTTATATTTTATATAACTTTTGGAAAAATGTATGGATCTATATTATTATTTTTTTATAATAAATATTGATATACCCCTTTCATCTGGCACGCTTTTTTTGTAAATCGGATCATACCCCTTTAACAAGGGGGGTCAAAACTTTAAACATGCGTATTGTTACTACGATATTTTCAATTTAATTTTTGAAAGTATTCCGGAAATACTGACACTTTTAAATATATCTTAAATTAAAGCTTATGTAATATACTTTAATGTGAAAAAAAAAAATTTGACCTCTGGATTTGTCTTCATGGTAAAAATGACTACCGTATGCAAAAATATGCTATTTTTGTGTTAAAATTCTGGGTTTTGTATTTTATTTTATTTTAAAATACCTGACAAGGGGAGTACAGATTTTCATAAATATTATATAAATTAAAATTGATATAGTATAGATAGTTAAACTTATTTAAATATGTTTGTTTCTTTTAAGTCGAGAAAAATAACTTTGAAATTTGAACTAGCTTAAATAGCCAATTTTTCAACCGCCGGAAGCAACGTACGGTTGCCGAGTTGGTAAAATTTATGTTTTACACGCTTGGGGTACGAGGTTCCAACCCGCATATGGCAATGAATTTTTTGCATTTTTTCTTAATTCTTTTTAAGTTAGTATAAATTTTAACTCGTTTGATTTTTATCACATTTAGATTCAATAACTTCAATAAAGATCAAGGATCCCATCACTTTAGTCGCCCCTTGCAAGAAGAAATTTCTTATTCGTATTAAAATTATTTTACTATATTTTAAGTTTTCGCTTCGATGCAAAGCCGAGAAGATATTTTTTTGTGACTATCATTTATTTTCTCTGCTCTAACTTGACCTACTTTTTTCAACAATACGTCAAATTACTACAATTCGTATCTAGTTGAAGATATTACTCTCAAAAATTGAAAAAAAAATTCTAATTTATCAATTAAACAGTTAGTTATTACATCGTCTCCATAAAGACAATTAAAATCATTAATTTCTAATGTTTTCAAAATATTTATTAACGAATGAAGTTTGATATGATAGGTTTCAACTACAAAATTAAATCATTTTACTTTGTAATTTAATAATTTTTTTACTCTATTTGTGTGTGCTACTACTAGACTATAATATTACAATTTTTTTTTGTAACATGTTGCTATATAAATCATTTCTAAAAAAAATGATTGTTTTTTCTCCTGAATTAACAATTGATTTTTACAAATATAATCAAATTTTATAATACACTCAATTGAGTAAATCTTTTTAACAACTTTGTTTTGATTGGTACATTTAGTTAAAGTAAATCATTAAAATTAATTAAGTTCTCAATATTTCAATTATAGAATCTTTTCAACAAACAACAAAAGTTCCTAGGAAATTATTACTATTACTTCTATTTAAGTTATCTATTACCATAAAAATGCAAAAAAATATTGAGCTTTTCTGATAAATTTACAATAAATAGTAATTATAAAACTTTCTGACTGCATATTGATCTTAACGATACAATTTTTTTAATTGTCATAAAATTTTCTATTTAATTATGTCAATGTCAAACTTACCAATTGAGCTAAAAGTTATGGTAAAATAAATTTTTTTTTTTTATTATAAACATTTACAACAATCAACTTTAAACGATTAACAAAATAGGTTAAATATGTCATTTTCCTTATTTTTAACTTATTAATAATCAAATTAATATTAAATATTATATCAAATCAGTATTAATTTAAAACAATTTTTTTTGTTCTTAATTATTTTTTTTTATATGTAAAAACTATTTTTTAATAATATTAAAACTTAGAAGTTATAGAAAAAGTCTAATTGCACATTTTAAAACATCGCGAAAAGTTGATTTAGAATAGTATATTTTTGTTTCTGATGGAAGTTCCTTGTAGTCCAGTGTATAAAACTTATAACTTTGTTAATTGTTATAACTTTATCAAAAATGACCAAATCAGTATATTTTTTTTTATTTAGATGCATGTCTTTATCTATCATTTGGTTTTTTTTATAAATCTAACCCTTTACCTGCCCACAAGAGGGATTCAAAATATTAACTTTTTTTTTTTTAGTTAAAGTAAATCATTAAAATTAATTCAGTTCTGGATATTTCAATAGTAGAATCTTTTTAAATATCAAAAATTACTTAGAAATGATTACTATGATTTCTATTTAAGTGTTCTATTACGATAAAAATGCAAAAAATAATGAGTTTTTCTGATAAATTTACAATAAATAATAATTATAAAACTTTCTGACTGCATATTAATCTTAAAAATAACATTGTTTTAATTCTCATAAAATTTTCTATTTAATGATTCATTCTAGTCAACGAAGGAGTAATTTTGCAGAATAGCAGAAAAAATTCCCAACAAACTTTTTTTTTTTTTGTTTTAATTAGGCAATTGGTGGATTATTCCAAAAGCAACATCAACTCTTATTTCTTTAATTATATCATGATTAGTAGTTCTTTGATTTTAAAATATAATATATGAATATATACTAATTATAATTATTAAATTTAGTATGAAATTGATATTTAATATTGTAATTTAAACGGAGAAATTATAAAAATAATAAAGAAGTTATATTTTGCTTTACTTTTACGTGTATAAAAATTTAAAGGGCTTGATACAATAATTTTCAATAAAAACTGTTTGTTACTATAAAAAAATGCACTGGACTACAAGGAACTTTCATCAGAAGCAAAAATATACTTTTCTAAATCAAATTTTCGCGTTGTTTTCAAATCTGCAAGTAGACTATTTCTATCACTTCTAATTTTTTATATTATTACTAATTATATATATAAAATAATAATTAAAAGAAAAAAAAATTTGTTTTCAAATTATTACTGATTTGATTTTTAATATGTTAAAAATAATCAGTCCAAATTTTCAATTTTAACCTATTTTTTTGGTTCTTTAAAGTTGATGAAAAATTTTTGATAAAGATTTATGAAAGTTTATAGTAAAATAAATTGAATATATTACCATAACTTTTAGCTCAATTACAAGTTTAAAATTGACATCTAGGCCTGTCAACAAAGGAAAAATTGCGGAAAAAATTTTGTTTTTTTAAAAGTTGAATTAAAATATGTATAATGACATACTAATAGTCCTCAAGATTGGAATTGAGCTTTTTTTTTAAATCCTCGCAAAAGTTCAAAAATATGAGCTTTCTTAATTTTCTCAAAAAAAAATATTTAACTTACAAAAAAAAGTTTCGCACAAAAGTTGTTTAAAAGACAATTATAAATAAAAATATAATCTTATATTTTTTCATTTAAACAAATATTTTTCGAGTTACATTACATTTAATATGAGTAATAAAATTTATATTCCATTTTTTTCATTTTACGGTTACTTTTTATCATGTTATACTTACATTAGACACAATGTTATAAATGCATATGTGTGTATGTGTGAGTTTATTTATTTATTGTATCATTAAAGTGTAGTGTATATTGAGATACAACCGATAGAGTAGGTAATTGATTTGACGCTATATTATTTAAACCCAACTAAACGCTAAATTGTACATTCCGAAATAACAATCATATTATGTCAATTGCCACCGGAATATCTGGTAATATTTTTCTTTTTCTTTGCCTTAATCCCAACTACTTGGGGTCGGCCACCCTTATCCTAAGCTTCCACTTGACACGATCTCCCACATCTTCTACGCTCACATCAGCTGTCCTCAAATCGCATTCAATAGCATCCCTCCATCTCTTTTTTGGTCTTCCTCTATCTCTTCTTCCTTCAACATTCATTTCTATAACTGTTCTTACAGCTTTCGATTCTTCTTTCCTCATACCATGACTAAACAATCTAAGTCTATTTTCTGTCATCTTATCCACGATTGACGCAACACCTATACTTCCTCTTATATGCTCGTTCCTTATCCTATCTTCTCTAGTCACTCCACTCATCCAACTAAGCATTCTCATCTCTGCTACACTTATTCTCTGCTCTACTTTCTTATCAACCGCCCAACACTATGAACCATACATCATAGCTGGCCTCACAATTTCATACTAAATTTAAAAACTATAATTAGTATTTATTCATATATTATATTTTAAAATCAAAGAACTACTAATCAGGATATAATTAAAGAAATAAGAGTTCATGTTGCTTTTAAAATATTTCACCAATTTCTCTAAAGGAAACACTATCTACAGATTTGCATCGAAGCGTTTCTTATGATAGTGATTTTAATCACTGTCAGATATCATCTATACTTGTCCCATCTATGCCTCGTCCACACTGTGCCTCGACCCCACTGTGCTACCGTTTTTTTATTATTTGTCTTTAATATAGAAAAAGTAAACATACATTTTTATATATATATATATATTTTTATTCTTATTTATTTATTTTTATATTTCTTCTTTTTGTTTTAATTTTTTTTTTTATTCTTATTTTTGGTTTATTACATAGTGTATACATGTAGTATATAGTATTACCACAGATTAGGTAAAATCATCTGGTTCTCTTTCTATTCACGTCGTATAATTCTCAAAAATGCGAACAAACCAAAACCTGCGTTAGATTACTATCGCTACTCATAGGAAAAAAAGTCTTTATGAGAAATTAGTATTTTCCAACTATGTATTACTAACTTTTATTGTTTGTTATAACATCGTTGTAAGCACGGCAATTTAGTAATAATTCCCAATTCCATGTCTTCTTTGTGATATTGATGTATGAATAACCAATTTATATTTGACATTTAATTAGTTATTGTTAATTTTTTTACCAGATTTTTTGTGTGGTTTTACGAATAATATAAAATATTAATTTTAAACTTAATTTTAATTATTTTTGAGGGTGAAGTAATGATTGGTCGCAAAAATAATTAAAAAAACCAACACGATATAAGGTTTTGCAGTGATATTGGCACAAAAGGTCACTAAAATAGAGAAATTCCTTAGATGATTTTTGCTTTATTCAGATATATGTGATATTTAGTACATGTGTTAATAACTATGTGTTAATAAGTAACAATATAATTTTGAGATCCATATACGCTTCCAAACTATTATATTATATAAAATTTTTATAACCGTTTATATTTTATAACAAAATTAGATATATTAGGATAATTTTAAATCAATATTTAAAGATATTATTCTGTTTTGAACTTAATATTTTAACCAATACTTCCTTATAATTAAAAAATCATACAGTTTATATGTTTCAGCAATAAATACTGTTATAAAGTTATATATATAAAAGAGCACCTATATCTTATATCAGAATAATTCTAATTAAACATCAGTATTATATTTCGATCATACAAATGTTATATTACACTTTGATAAACAAAAATTGTTTATATCCATTGCCAAAAATAATTTTGATGTATTTTATGAAAACCGGTATCTACATAATCCGTTTTAACAAATTTTTTACAAAAATTATATAAATATTTCGTAATTAGTTCATACTCAGTGACATGTGTTTCATCTGATCTTTTATTAATAATATTTGCATTTTCTTGAAATTTAATTACTACATTTTTCTTATTTATTAATAAACCATCTAAAAAACAACGATTTCTTTTGGGATTTTTTAAAGTATTTAGCATCTTAATAAACTTATATCTTGTATTTTCAACATTTTTAATGTAATCATCAGCTAATTTTTCAATGTTTACTTCAGGATTGTTCACAAACTTATCCCGTAATACATTTTTAGTTCTCAGCTCAACTACGTAATTATATATCAATTTATGAGTTGATTGTAAATCAGAATATGATTTATTGGGTTGCCAAATTGATGATAGTTTTATTTTTTCTATAATTGTCAGCATAAAGTCGAACATTGTCACTGTATCATTAATTGCGTCAAAAAGACATGTTACACATTTTACATAATTATTTTCGTTTTTTAAAGTTATACACAGTTGTTTTAAAGCACTTAACAATGTATTGTAATTTAAAAGTACTTCAAAAAATCTGCACCTCACCATTTGTGTAAAGTAATGTTTCTTAAGATGAAAATTATGATCTGTCGCCAGGTCTCTTATCACATGTTTGGCACTTATTTTTAAATCATCAAATTTTATATCTATTTGACTAAATGAAGCCCAATTACCCTCGTTAAACAGAGAATTGAGTATTGTGATTCCCAGTTCTTGATTAATAGTTTTATCTTTAGGAGGTTTAAATCTGTACAAAAATTTAAATAAATAGTCATTTAAATAACTATATAATAAGAGATGTATGTTTCTAAACATTATATTTCAATAGGGATGCTACACCCCATTTTCTGTTTTTTTTTTCACTTTATATAGGTTAATAAAAACTATAGTGGATATAATTTGTTTGTCAAGTAGTTCACTACAAATAAAGTTATTACAAGAATTACCAAAAATAACTTATTGCAACAGAAAAAAATAATTAATTTTTATGGGAAAATTTCCATATTTTTATTATGTATTTATTATCTTCAGTTTATAACTAGATTTTTCATACAAAATTTTTTTGTTATTAAAAGAAATTTTAATAACGAACTATTAATTGTATACCTTATTTGTTATAATAACTCTCACATGTTTTGAAATGTATTACTTAATAATTTTATAAACTTTCTTTCTACTGTATTTTTGGTTTTTTTCAATAAAAATTAATTTGAAAAAGTTTTGTCAATTGAAGCGTAATGTGTCAATCGAACATTATGATAACATCAAAGTACAAATTATGATAATGTATTTTTTCGGGACTCCTTTTCTCATTAATGTCCACTTTAAAACCTCTTTCGATACTCTATCATACGCTTTTTCCAAATCTATAAATACCATACACAGCTTCTTCTCCTTTTCCCTAAACTTTTCTATTAGTTGCCTCACACATAATAATGACTTCATTGTTGACTTATTAGGTATAAATTCAAACTGGTTTTAAGATACCAATGTATAATTTATTATTCTCTTATATATTTCATTTCTCAAATTTTCATACTATGACTCATAACCTTTATATCTCTATAATTTTCACACTACTGTATATCTCCTTTACCTTTAAACATCGCAATACTATTCTAAATAATATGTATATAAATTCAATTATTTTAAATTATAAAAGCACTTTAAATCAGTGTATGAATAATAGAAAAAAAGAAGAAGAAGTTAAGGTAGATGACGTTTTTCGGCTACCTGCGGCAGAAACTATTGTTGCTAAATTTAATTAATCAAAACTTAATTGAATGGATAGATTAATGTTATTCCGCATTCAGCTAAATCATTCACAACTTTTAAAGATTCCACTTTTTTTACACTTAATAAATTGTTCATTGTGTTCCATGTTTTTGAGTCAGACAAGGCATTTAATGTTTTAAATGTTTTTAAAATTTACAAAAAAAAAAAAGAAATATTTAAATTGGTCTTGTATGACATTTTAAACAGTATTGTATTCAACAGGATTAAAAAAATAATAATAATACATTTTTTTACTACAACAACCATTTGCACATATAAGATAAGTCATCAGGACAAAGTTTTTTTCCTATTAAAGTATATTTTATAAGGTTGTAAGGGTACAGTCAAACCAAAGAGATTTTATTTACCCAATGCCCAGGGGAACACTGGATAGTGACCTAACATCTGAGCCAAGCTAGAAAACTTCTCGTTGACAAACTGATACGTTTTGAGTTAAAAAAAACGAATATTAATAAAAAAAGAGAAGATTAGAAAGAGAAAAATAAAAGTCCACGTATAATATAACAAAACGTTTTTTAATTCTTTAAAATTCATATATCATTTCAATATATAATTTATATTCATTAAAAAAACTGATTATTTGTCAAAACAAAAATGATTAAATTGTTAAAAATTGTTAGTAAAAAAAGAACAAAGATAAAAGAAAAAGGGAAATGCGCTATATACACAATATTATTGAAGGGGGAACAAAAGGGAGGTTTTGTGTTATACTTGTTGATTTAGCTCCATGCAGCGGCCTGTAAGACACTTTTCAATCCATCATGTCGAAATAGACAAAAATAACAAATCCACAGTTGTCCACAATATCTGGTCGGTGGTAATCTTAACGTTTTTTTATTTTAGTTTAAAAAAAGAACGGAACACAATACAACAAACTATCCAAAAAACGTGATTTAGACAAGCGGCAAGTGCAAAAAAAAAAAGGCTCGTCTATATATCTTGGTAATATAGCTACAAGAAAAAAACGTCCAGTTATGATGGCAACGTGTGGTGGATGGCGGTGGTAAGGATGACGCTTGAGTTACAGTAGTGATAACATGGACTAGATCATATATGGGTGTTATTTACAATATGATTCAGATGCATAGTGTACCGATTGACTGGTGGACGTTATCACATATATCTACTAAAAAATACTTAACACCTAATATACACATCGCTAACTGATAAGGTTTTATTTAAACTAATAAAAAAATGCCAGTACAAATTCTGTAACATTACAAGACATAATTTAAGATATATATATATAAAAGTATCAGTATTCCCGGATAATTTTCAAAAATTAAGTTAAACAATTTTTAATTTCTCTTATATGCAAAAAAGAGTTAAATTTTCAAGAAAAATATACCAAATAATAGGGAATTACATACGGTATCTTAACATTTTTTTTTGATTCATTCAATGTTCAAAAAGTTATAGTAATTTTTTTTGAGGATTTCTGCCATTTATCGGTAATGAAGTAATTTTTTTTCAATTTTTCAGAGTTATGTCTTCGACTAGATTCAATTTATGGTTTTTTGACGAATTATTAAAATAAATCGGTTAGGCGAAAGCTGAGAAAATGTGGTAACAGATTCAAAAATTAATAAATATAGTTAAAAAAAACTGAAAAACACGCTTTTAAAGCATATCAAACTAATAAGTTAAAAATAATTTAAAAAAACCCAGCAGAGTGGGGTCTAGGCATAGTTGGGTCCAGTATGGATGATATCTGACGGTGATTAAAATCACTATCATAAAAGACGCTTCGATGCAAATCTGTAGATAGTGTTTAATTAAAAAAAAAAAATTTGTCAAAAAAGTAGGTCAAGTGAGAGCTGAGAAAATAAATGATATCTACAAAAAAAAAAACCACATTGTAAAATAATATTAATATGAATTTCTTCCCACGAGAGGAGACTACAATAATGGGATCCTTGATATTTATTGAAGTTATTGAATCTAAATGAGATAAAAATCAAATGAGTTAAACATTTTTTTCTAACTCAAAAATAATTAAGAAAAAATTCAGTGCACGACGGTGTCTGGAAGCCCCTCAGTTTTTTCTCAAACAAGTTGTCTGAAGCAGAATCATGTTACAGCACATATGATCGCGAATTGCTCGCTGCCTTTCTCGGTTGTCGTCATTACATCCACATAAAAGAAGACCGATTTACAACCTTGCGCACGGATCACAGATCACTACTGCAAATGTTCATGCATAAAACCGAGAAGTACATAGATCGCCAGGTACGACAAATATCATTTTTGTCCCAATTTATTAGCGCCGTCGATCATGTCAGCGGTTCATGCAACACCGTCCCAGACGCATTGACACGTTTGAAAATGTCGGCGATTCAAAACGGCCTACCTGACGTACAACAATGGGCGGCGGATCAGACCAGCGACGAGCAACTAATAAAACGTACCTTGTCCGGTGACATCAAGTCCTCTGTGCAAATTCAAACCCGGGACACTACGGACGGAAAAATATTTGTGGATGTTTCAACAGGTACGCCTCGTACGTACGTGCCCGCCAAACATCGTAGATCAGTTTTCGAAGCGTTCCATTGTTTGGCGCATGGCGGTCGCAAAGCGACGCAACGCTTAATCAGCGCCCGCTATTGTTGGCCGGGTATGAACTCTGAAATAGCAAAATGGGTGAAGATGTGCCTGCAGTGCCAGCGCAGTAAAATTGGCAAACACACCATTTCGCCGATAGCGCCTTACGCGCTACCAGATCGACGTTTTGGCCACATCCATTTGGACATAGTCTGTCCGCTCCCTCAGTCTAGAGACAAAAAATACTTAGTCACTTGCATCGACCGTTTCACGCGTTGGCCAGAAGCGTGGCCAGTCAACAACATTTCCGCCCACGCTGTCTCTGCAGTTTTTGTTACAAACTGGGTTTCTCGCTTCGGCGTGCCGGATTTTGTAACGGTCGATCAAGGGCGATAATTCGAAGCAGACTTGTTCCGGTCATTATCCAACACATTTGGAATTCGACATATTCGTACTTCCCCGTATCATTCGCAAGCAAACGGGATCGTCAAACGTTTCCATCGCATTTTGAAAGCCGCGCTCATGGCGCACCAAACGCCACACTGGACTGTCAAACTGCCCGTTGTGTTGTTGGCGTTAAGGAATACGGTGAAGGAGGATGTTGGTTCGACTTCCGCCGAGTTAGTCTACGGAACTTCACTTCGTCTGCCCGGAGAATTGTTTCACTCAGTCCCGCTAACCGCTCGTACGTCGGAATTAGTCCGAGATTTAAAACAGTATATGGCTGAATTACAACCGAAGCCTGGGTCAAATCACGCGCCGCGACGTTCGATTTTTGTGCCACAATATTTAGACAAAGCGAGTCACGTGTTTTTGCGTATTGACGCCGTACGACCGCCGCTTAGTGCCAAGTACGAAGGCCGCTACGTCGTACTGGAGCGCCGGAAAAGAACGTTCAAAATTCAGTGTGATCGCAGGGCAGTCTGGGTATCGATCGATCGACTGAAACCCGCTTTCGTCCTTCGTGAAGATCCACTTTTGGATCACAGCTACGCCGTCCAGTCTTTTAGGGTTGAACATCAACATAAAAAACAGGTCAGTTTTTTTTTTAAAGGGGAGTAATGTGGCGACTCCCGCCACTATCAGCAGCTAGTCATCATCTTCAGTGTTACCGTTTTTATGTCGCGTGATTATTTTATTGTACTTTGTATTTTGTCAAACATTGTTGGTATTCGTCGTAAGTTTTGATTATGTAATCGTCCTTACCTGTGTGCCTTTTTAAATGTAACCGTCCTCCCTGTCCAGTCAGTGTCCGTTCGATCTCTGAGAAATTTGTCTGTCTCGATACCATTAAATTTTGTTACCTTATTCGCGTAGCCTACGAATACGTTTATTTTTTCTATTTCAATTTGTTTATTATTATTTTATACGAATAAAAAGCCTGTAACGCTTTTGGCGTTATTATTAACTTATTTCGAGCCGTTTATGATTTTTTTTTAGTTTTAAGCATCATACCCGATTACCTTGGAGGTCATAATCTACAAATTGGTATTTTTTGCTTAATTCTTTTTGAGTGAGAAAAAAATTTTCAAGTTATTTAATTTTTATCTCATTTAAATTCAGTAACAAGTAAATATCAAGGATCCCATCACTGTAGTCTCCCTTCATGAGAAGAAATTTCTTATTCATGTTAATATTATTTTACTATGTTTTCTTTTATGGCTGCGATTTATTTTTCTAACCCTCACTTAACCTTCTTTTTTCAAAGATATGTCAAATGATTACAATTTGTATTTAGTTGAATATATTATTCTCAAAAATTGAAAACAAATCCCTGAATTAAATAAAGAGTAGCTAAACAGCTTTATCCATACAAACAACTAAAATGATTCATTTCTAATATTTTTAATGTGTTTATTGTCGAATTAATTTTGATATAATAAAAGTATTCAACTACAAAAGTAAATAATTTTACTTTGTAATTTATTAAGTTTTTAACTCTATTTGTGTGTGATACTACACAGTCTATAATGTTACAAATGTTCCTAAATAAATTATATATCTAAAAAAAAAAGATTTTTAGTTTCACCTGAATTTAACGATGGATTTTTACAATTCTAAACAAATTTTATAATACGCTCAATTGAGTAGATCTTTTTAACAACTTTTTTTATTGGTTTTTTTAGTTAAAGTAAATCATTAAAATTAATTCAGTTCTGCCTATATCAATTGTAGAATCTAATACCAAAAGTTAATTAGAAATGATTACTATGATTTCTATTTAAGTGATCTATTTCGATAAAAATGCAAAAAAAATCCAGCTTTTCTGATAAATTTACTGTAAATAGTAATTATAAAATTTGCTGACTGCATATTAATCTTAACAATACCATTTTTCATTATTTAATGATGTCAATTTCAAACTTTCAAGTTGAGCAAATTCGATATAACATGAAAAACATCAATTTCGATGTCTAAATAATTTAGGGTATAAAATGAATGAAATTTCTTATGATAATAATTGCACTAATTAATTGTGCTATTGAACATTGTGACATTTGAAATATTTATTAAGTAATATCTTGGGCATCTGATTATTATTTATAAAACGAATTATAAAAATAATTATTGAAAATACTTTAACTTAATCTAATTAACTTAGGTTTATTAGATAGCTAGATATACAATTTATATGAAGCTTAAAAATTAATGAGTGAATACCTTGGTAATGAAAATAATATGGAGTGGCAGCCAAACCCTCAATGTAACTCATTCATCAATAATTATATTAAAAGAAAGGGATTTGAGCTTTAAGAAAAAATATATGCTATCCAATAATGACTTAAAATAAATTAAAATTTTAATTTCATAACTAAAATAATAATTAACTAACAAAGGTCCGCAAAATCAAACTTTCTTCTCTTTTTTTATTATTCACAAATTCCTCTACGATCTAATATATTCGATAATATAATATATTTTTATATATATTATGCAACTATAAATTATAATTACTCAAATTATAACAATATACAAATGATTACCGACCAGTCATCATTTTATTAAAAAGTAAAATTAATGATTAAATGATTATATAAATAAATAGACAACTAGCATAGTAGTCTAGTCTTTTATATAAATTTATAAGATAAAACACCTATTAAATAATATAAATTAATAGTACTAAATTAATTCATATTTAATAAAGGTGCAAATAGTCTAAATATATTTTGACAAACTAATATCAATAATTTTAAAATAGATATTTTTTTCAATCGCATTTCAACGATTATTCTTTATATAATTTAGTATAAATAAAAGACAGTAATTTCTTTTAGATTCTTAAAAAAAAAAAAATTCAGTTATGTCCTTTTACACACAGTACAAATAAAAATAGTATTATAACACTAATACAAATTATCATAAATATTAAAATCAATAAATAAATTTTACTTACTTATGATCTATTGGATTTATCAACTGAATAAATCCAAGATCCTCGTAATTATTTTTAATGGTTTCAGTGTAAAACAAATTGATTTTATGATACATAAAAGATACAAAACTTGGGAAATCATTAATGTATGACGAGTATTCCATTTCACAAATAACCTTGACATTAACTTTCTCAGCATTATTTATTATAGATTTATTATTCTCGAAAAAGTTATTTGCAATTTTATATACATCATCAATGAACTCTTTTATATCTAGAAATTCTTGAATACTACCATAAAGATGCTCGTTCCGTATTATTTTTAAATATTTATGGTTTTTTATCTCATAAATGTCGTCAACTGCGGCGAACAAGTTATTTTGTAAATCAAGAATGTCAAATTTAAAATGTTTCAAGTTAAAGTATATATAACTTATAAATGTTATAGCATTATATAAGCTTTCAAACATTATCAATGAATTTTTTATTGCTTTTTCGAGTAAAAATGAACAATAAGAAAATTTGTCCATTAAATTAGCTTCAAAAAAATTTAAACATATATCGACATTAATATTTAACAATTCCACGAATCTTAAAAGTATTTCGTTATACCTATAATTTAAATTTTGAACAATATTATAGAAAATACCTAGTATATTATATCTGTCAAATTTTTGCATAATTAAATCTGGATCACTTAAATTTCTAATCGAATCAAAATATAAGTTTTTCATAGACATCCATCCATTTTGAATAAACATATGATCTATTACATTAGTTAAATAATTTAAGTATGCTGTTTGATTAATTTTACAATCCACATAGATAAAATTGTATTGAATTAAAGATATAGTTAAAATAAATAGTTTAAGATTCATGTCAACTAATGAAAAAACTTAAATTCAATGCAATAAAATAAATGATAACACTAAATTATCTTCATTATTTATGGTATTATCCATACTTAAAAATATCGTCTTCGTGTCATTGAGACAGTTTTTAGATTTTAATAATAGATTAAGCTAATAAATTATTAATTTATTAATCGTAAAAATATATGTTCTTTTTATTTAAAATTTATAGGTCTTAATATTTAAATTAAAATTTTTATAAATTATTTATTTTTAGTGAATTTTAAAAAAATTTAACTACTTCAATAAAATTCATAGCATAAACTCTACTAATATGAGTATAAATGTTAATTACTTCCAAAATACTGATTTAAAAGTTATTGTCGACCCTAATTGTATTAATTTGATTATTATTTAATAAATAAATTAGTGAATTATCTATGTTTCCATAAGATAAAATCAAGTTGACACTCCTATAAAGTAGTGGAATGGACATATAAAATATAGCTCGATTGATAAATAAAAAAAAAAAAATTATTTTTTATTTATCAATCATTACTTTATTTAGTTAATAGTTTAATAATTGAATATACATAAAATATTTATTCTAGTATATGATAAATCATATTATCATGATAACCTTGACCAACTCGAATAACCTCTTGGACATTAATGAAAGATCGAAACGTAGCCAAGTGTTTTGACGATATTGGTAGCTTTTCGAACAGTTAATGAATAAGTATTTGAAATGAACACGATTAAATAGTATCTACAATTACTAATATAGCTTGATCCAACTCTGCACGAGTCAAGAAGTCTGAAGTTACAGGCTGACTACGGAATTTTACTACAGTTCGTCGTACGCGAGTGACCACGCGTATCAAATTCGAAAATGTTGGGAACCCAGTAATCCATGACACTATTTTTGCTTCGACTGTTAATATGTTAGGAGGCAAAATATTGACATCAGGACTTTGGTCTATAGGCAAAGAAGGCATCATGATGTATCACCCAAGTATTGACCGTGTCAACATAACAGGTCCATTCTAGTACAAGTCCTTAACCATCAACTCTGATGAAAATAGGCGAAATCTGTCGGTTTGTCGACCAATAAGATGTAATTTTATAGACGTTGAAGCAGTAAAGAGTGTATTTTAAAGTTTTGATTAGATACAAATACTTTAAATGACTCGTAAAAAATAGACAATCAATTAAGGACGATTATGAAATTCGACCAAAATATTCTACTACATTAGCTAGTGAATTTCTGATACGAGTCTTCCAAATAACCCCACAAGAGAGCTGCGCACAACTCTAGTCCCGAGATAGTCTCCATCTTGATCGTTGCAAATTTGGTCCTAGTACTAAGTAGAGAGATGAAAGGCGGTGACCCAGAAGAATTATTCAAATGAAGATATACCACAACTACGTACCCGCATTCAAAAGTATCACAGAAACTACACAGAAATCCAGTACTTCGACGTCTGTTTGAACATACCGCGGAATAGCTAAATGTTGCAACTGAATTAGAACAGACATCAAAAGACGCCAAGGTTCAAGAATATCCGTTAGTAATGCTTCATCCTAATTTAAACGAGCGCACCACAACTATTGCATAAAACTTTTGGCGTCTGAGGGTAATCATGCTACAGTACATGCTGAAACCGTCTGTGCTCCTTGTTAATCTCAATCTTTCGGCACTCTTACATATGTCGATGGTGATTGCATACCATGGAATCTCCATGGAACAAATGAAATAACAAAAATACCTCATCGACATCACATTGGAGCTCTGGTCTGCCAACAGACAATTATTCAGGGAGAACCAACCATAAGATAATTAATAGCACTTTTACTGAAATATGCATTCACATTTAGCGTCATTCGTAATGTCGTCTAGGGCCGCATCTGGTTTTTCCACTTTCCAAAATTTCTCCATTGTGAAATCTAATAAAGTTGATAATACGATCGAACACGAAAAAAGCCAGCACTGATTGAGTGTAGGAACTGAATCAATAATTAGCCAACTGAAAATGGAACAAAAGGTCACAGGACAAAATTCATCTATGCACAAGCGTTTTTCATTAAAAATTGAAGGAAACAAAAAAAAAAAAGATCGATAGGTGTTGGAACATTAAATTGCGGGACAGCTAAAGCTAAATTGTTATATTTACTTGTTATAACGATAGGTATCTTTGATTGTGGCATTTCAGAAATAATTTTTGGCAACATTAATACTTAAACGGGTAAAGGGAACACTGATAAAAATCTTAACTGTATTTTACAATACACAATACCATGTTAACTCTGAACGTACGTACCAGCTAATTTTGATACCGGAGCAGTCAACTTTGACTTATATAACCCTAGTCTCGTCACATATGTCAAAGTCATAACACATCAAACAAATTATTTGTTTGCAATTTGGTCATTACTTACAAGACATTGGTACACCACGGGATAAGAACCTAACACTATTCATATCATATTGCCAGTAGAATATTCACTACCGATAAATAATAAGTAAAACGGGGGACGGTCTTGGAATACATTCCATACTGTTGTCCATCTATTTTGATAAAAATATCTACATATGTCAGGTGATCTTATAACACGCCTGTCATATCGAGGGATCTATAAAGTAATTCAGGAACTTACAAAGAAATTACAAAACAAAAACCCAGCATGTGAATATGACACAGCGTATCAGAAATAATATAAAAAAAACTATGGGTCAATAAATTGTGTTGTTCAACGGCTTTAAGGCTTTCACCAATAAAGGCATATAAACCCAACAAAATTGGATTCACCACTAGCCGAGGTTTTACCAGACCGGAGCATAGTAGAATTTAAATGTAAATGACACACTTGATGTTTTAATATTGTACGATTGTTCAATTAAATAAGTTTTTACCTTAACTCTAGACTAAGGAGAATTAAAAAACTGATAGACTAGTAGTATGGGCGTTGATGCTCTATTTAATACAATTAAATTAACTACAATTATGTTTAAAATAAGTTGATTATAAGTACAATTTGATGTTGTCAAATACATTGTTCAAATTGTAAAACCAAACTTACAAATTATTTTATAATATAAATATTTTAAGTCATGATTAAAAATTATTACAAATTATTAAATGATCTCAAAGACAAATAAAATAAGTAGAAAATGAGAAAAATAATCTCTGACTGTAATGACTATGTTCTATTGGACCAAGGGCTAGGAGTGTATTTAATAATATTTAATATAATAAAATGGTTATCATTGCAATAATGCTGAACCGGACAATTTGACATCGGTCAATAGGGATGGAGACCTTTTATTACAAACTTTAATACTGTTAAGCACATCAACATTGGTCAAACACATGTGAGATTTTTTACACTCGAATAATAGTTAACGTACGAATGTACGAAACAAATTTATGTTTTAAAACTAACTGATTTACGAATAGTCAAAGAGCAAAATGTGTCAGAAAGATAGGATAGAATAGAATAATCATATTAAAATAATTAAAGTATATTAATTTAATGAGGGTTCTTGTTCAAAGAAACCCTCGTGACAATACACAAATATAGGAAAATTTAATGGATGAAGAAAGAAAGAGATGTTGTACAAAAGTTACCACAATCATAATACAATGATGTCGATGCCGTAGCCAACAAACGAATCTTCATCCATGGCTCGATAGTCAGGGCCAAAAGTATAGTTTAAGTAGTCATGTATAGTGATGTGCCACAAGAAATATTCCCCAGGGAACGTTCCTGGGAATGAGGAATATTCCGGAAATATTCTATTACCACTCGGGAATATTTCTTGAATAACAACTAATACATTTTATTTATTATAATTAATAAAGTATGGCAGTGCTAGTGAAAGAGACAACGTTATTGTATTTATATCTTGATTACACTGATGTGTTTATCAACATATTATTGATAAGCAATATATAAGGGCTTAGATTAAAATTAATTATAGTAGTATTGTTTTTCACAGTTATTTAATTTGTAAATTAATTTTTCAAAATACTTTTAAAATGCCGGCAGGTAAAAAAAAAATCGAATTGTTGATCTTATTTTAACGAAAGACTAGTTAACTTCAATGAAAGAATGTAAATTATCATTATAAACATTAGCTGTTCATGCTGTTGGCTCTTCTATGATAGGAATAAACAGAAAAAAATTGATTTTAGATAATGCTGTATTTTGGACTAAAATCGATAAACGTATTAATTTACTTAACCCTATTGTAAAATGGAGTACAATTTTAGAAGGGGACAGCAATACAATTAATCATGTATTTGATGCTTTTTATGAAATTCAAAATACTTTTTGTAGTTATATCTCAGAATCACTGATTATTTCTACTAAAAAAGTGCAAATAATACTGAATAAGTTTAAAGAAAGACATTTAAATACTATTAAACCTCTACACTTAGCTGCATCTTTGTTGGATCCCAAAACTCAGGGGGTTCAGAAGTATTAAAAGCTTTTGAGTTTATTGATCAAATGATATCTATACAAAATAGTATGACTGATTCTCTTAAAATGGATGGTGCTCAAATAATAGCTGATAAAGAAAATTACAGATCTCGACAAGTTATATGAAGCAATAATTTTATTTGGAAATGTGTGGAGAAAATAAGTCCTTTAACATAGTGGAATAGTTTTTGTTCAAGTACTCATTTATTTATTATTGCAAAAAAAATATTAAGTGTTCCTGCTACATCAGCAGCCACTGAACGTTCATATAGCACATTCTCAAACATTCACACAAAAAAAGGAACCGTTTAACAAAATCAAATGCTTCAAAAATAACTTTTGTTGCCCATTATTGGAGACAAAATATAGAAAAGAATAAAAAAGTTATTTATGTTAATTATGAAGGCAAACCCCGTGAACCTAATGAAATGGATAAAAATAAACTTAATATACCAATTGTGTCAGATAAAAATTCAATATCAATTGATGGTTTCATTTCATCTGACGATGAAGAGTAGTGTCCTAGTGACAGTGACAATTTCTTTAATG